TGCTTCTCCGATGCTTCTTTTTGCAAATATAATCAATCTGAATCCTGTGCAATCCTCTGGGTAAGACTGATGTTTGTGTTTTTTTAAAAAAGTATTTGCTATGAAGTATTTGAGTACACAAAATTTGATCATTTGCTCTCTGGCCCCATTCTATTACCAAGTACATATTTTCCGACTACCATTCCTTCCCCATTGTTTCCAACTTTTTCATTCCAGGCACCAATAATTATTAATGTACTTTGATTGCATGTTTGGTATATTTCAGACTACAAAAGTTCATAGAAACCCTCAATCTCCTCCTCTTTGGCTTTAGTTTTTGGTACATATCTTTGAATAATAGTCATATTCTTTATATGCGAATGCATGGCATTGTACTTAAAGATGGATTTTAAAATTGCCTTTTTAACTATGAAAACAACACCATTCTTCCTCAGTTTTTCATCCCGAACATAGTAGACAGGGAGAAAAGAAGTCACTGCAGTAGTATGTTTTAATTTCAGAAACACATTAGTCCTCTTTACGAAATGCTTCTGTATATTTACTGTCCATTCGCAAGGCAGTGCAGTCACTTTTGCTGACAATTTTAACAAAGATTGTTAGTTAGTTAGTTACTGAAAGTCATTCAGAAAGTTGTTTCTAGCAGAGCCAGAGGACCGTCCTCCCTAAAACTGTTGAACAAGTTAATCAATGTTTGAGATAAAGATGTAAAAGACAAGTTTATCAGATTGGCAACTGACATATATCCAAACACTGGAATTAATATGACACATTGGCAATCATGACAGAAGAATGGCAGACAAGCAATGAATCAAAACCAACAGGTTAATTATTATACTGATAAATGTTATCCCATACACAGAATTTTAAAACATGAGTTGCCATTCAACATTAGCCTTGGCAGCACTTCAAAATAGAATAAGTAAAATCAGAGATTTTCTTTGACCGTTGGGTCATGCTGTACTTATAACTCAACAACTGGATAAATAAAAAAGTCATAAAAGTTTGGACTGATTCAGGGAAAATATTTAGAGGGTAAACTGAAAAAAAATCATACATGTTTTCACTAATGCAGTCAAGTTTGTTCAGACTATATCTGAAGTCCTGCATTTTAAAGGGGGTCTTACATTTTAAAAGGGCCAATGTTAAGCTGGAAAACATGTAAACAGCAATGGGCCAACTGGCAGCATCAGGATAGATGGAGAAGAGATTAAGATTGTTAACAGCTTTAGTTTGCTTGGCTCCACAATTAACACTCTTGGTACCAGGAGCCAGGAAATCAAAAGACTAATTTCATTAGGAAAGTCAGCTGTCAGAGAAATCTCTAGAGTAATGAAGAACAATGATGTCAGTCTGGAGACTAAGGTGTGTCTGATCCAGGCCATGGTCTTCGCAATTACATGCTATGCATCAGAAAGCTGGACAATACTGTCGTGTTAGAGAAGACTATTGAATATACCACGGACTGTTAAAAGAACAAAGAGGTTCTTTCTAGAGAGGTTGAAACTACTCGCTCCTAGGAGGCAAGGATTCTGAGGCTCTGTCTGACATACTTTGGGCATGCTGCAAGGAGGGACCAGTCCTTGGAGAGGGACACTATGCTTGGGAGGGTGGAGGGACAGTGTAGGAGGGAAAGACCTTTGATGAGATGAACTGACTCAGTGACTAGGGTAATGGGGGTAGGTGTCAGAGACAGTAAGGATGGCTCAGCAGGGTTCAGACCTATTGTAAATAAGGTTGTTATGAATCGCAAGTGACTCAATGGCATATAACAACAACAACAAACACCTCTGAAGTCAACAAGGTTTTAGAACAGATCAGGTTAAACAAATTCCTTTCCTGTAGCACTTCTTAGAACCTTTAATGTCCATTGTGATTTTAAGAAAAAAAGTATATCTATAGAGAGGGATCTAGAACACACAGTTTCTTTATTTGAACATAAAACTTTTCATAGCAAATCTCTTAGGACAAGTAATTTGTAGGACTAGAGGTCTAAGGCACAAACAAAATTTGAAGTTTGGGTGAGGGTGTAAACACTATCTAAATCTGTGAGAAAAAATTAGTAAAAGCACATGCAGAGACCCAAGAATAAAACCCATAAAGCATGAAGGGATATGACAGGAGGATTAACAGATATGACAATTATAGGAAAGAAGAAAGATAAGTACGATTACATTGTAGGTATTGTACTTAATGCTATTAAACAAACCTGCCTGAACGGTGGAATGCAAAATCAATTTGTTCCATAAACTTTCATTAAAATTTAAATAAAAAATGTTACAACTAAAAAAGCCTTCCTCCTTGTTGGCAATTAGGAGAAGCAAATGTAGACTAAATGTTAATGAAGGTGAGCATTTAGAACCATGGGTCTGTGAAAGGAACAGATGTACCACGAGGGTGGCTGAGTCTGACTTATCTGCTTCATAAAAGTGAACTGTGCCCACCAATAAAATCTATAGCAGCAAATAGACAGTTGCATGGTCAGACACGGCATCCCCCCCATGCTCCTAGAATTCTTTCTAGCAGTCATTCGGGTCCAATAATCATTGTTGACTCAAAGACTTTACTCACAGTTGTGGTACCCAGAATGGGGTTTATTAGGGAAAAAAGTTGGAGAATAAAGGAGGCAAAGAATATCACCGAATGCAAGTCCAGGTTTTAGCCCAAAGGCACAATTCTTCAATTAGTCCAGGCTCCAGTTTCAGTTCAGCAGTCAAATTTTCCTTCCATCATCCAGCAAAATCAGCAAAACCTTCAACCATGGCCCCTATCTCAGGGCTCTTCTGGTTAAACCTTGCCAGCATTTTTCCACAGCAATGCTACAGTCTCTCTACCACCATCACCAGGGTCTTGCCACCAGGATCTCCCTCAAGTTTTGCTGCTCAGGGTGGGAAGCACTTTCTCTCTTATCCTAGTCCCACAGCCATTGATGATTTGCAATACCATGTTGTCTGCAGTTAAGGTAGCTGGAGACCGAAGGGGGGTGGGGTGGGGGGTGGGTATTGTAATGGCTAGAAAAGTCCATTTTTAAGTTAAGACCACAGATCTGATATGGAAACTACATTATAAATGGAAATTTTAAAGGTATTTTTAATATTAGGACCAGAAAAGAGCAAGACTTTCAAGTATGGTGAAGTCTAGAGGGAGGATGGTATCTTTCACAGAGTTCTGGTGGCCTAGTGGCAAAAAGCTTCACTGTAATCGCAAAGGTATGCGGCTCGAATCTACCAGATGCTCTGCTGGAGAAGGAGGGGCAATCTCCTCCTGTACCAGTCAGATCGGATTTGATGGTACTCACACACACAAAAAAAAATAAAAAAAGATGGCATTTTTCTGGTGGTTTGAATCCATCAGCTGCTCCATGGGAGAAAGATAAGCAATTTCCTTCTATTTTATTTATAGCCTCCAAAAACTTGCTGGAGGGTCTGCTATGTATAAGTTGGCCCAAACTTCAGAGCAATGAGAGTTTAGTGTCAGAAAAGTGTCTTTTCGAGTTTGCTCTCCTATCTAGATCAAAACAATGTCTGGAGGTAAAGTTCAGAACTGCAGTTTTAAACACACTTCCCAAGAGGCCCTTATCCAGAAAGTCTAGTATTTGATCTCATATTCACTCACTGCTGCCAAATAGGTTCTGACTCAGAGTAGGTTTTTCCTGCTGAATAGGTTCTGATTAATAAATCCTCCATTGTGTTACTGAAGCTATAAATCCCAAGAGAAGAGACTATCTTTTGCCACAGGAGCCACTGGTAAATCCATACTGCTAGAAATGTGGCCTTTTGGTTAGAAAAACACCACACTGTTAACTATGCCACCAGACTTCCAATATTTGCTCTAAGAGGCAAAATTAGGGCCACGGCTGCCCAGAATAGGATGGTAGGTTGAATCTTCAGAAGGAGAAAGAATCATTAGCCACAATTTTTGTTTGTAATTATCAATTAAAATGTGTTATGTTGTGTTGTTAGCTGCTATCAAGTTGTTTCTTAACTCCTGACAAATACATAGACAGAAGGAAACACCACCCAGCCCTGCAATACCCCATGATCAAAAGCCGTTTAGGCCAGGATAACCACAGTGTTATCACTGGCAGTTTTTCTGAGGTACAACTCCAGACTGTTCCTCCTAGTCTGTCTTAGCTTGGAAGCTCTGTTGAAACCTCCTCCACAGAACAGCAAACACAAGCCTCCAACAACACACAGGTGTTGGCTATGATGAGGTGCACTGGGCAAGACTCATAGCCAGGTCTTTAGAACAGAAGGTGAGAATCTGCCCACTAAATCACTACTGCCCCAAACTGATGTAAAACTTAATATAAAGAATTTCCCAAAAATGTGAATGCATTCTGATTGACCTAGCAAGTCAAGCTGCTTACAATTAAATTTAATTTTCTTTTGCTCAAGATATGAGGTTCTTAGCAAATGATACATATTAAGTGGGTCTCTAAATTAGTAAGTGCCTTGAATTAGAAAACACTCTCAACAAGTAGATAACAAAAGTTCTACTGTCAAGCACCATATTTGTGTCTATTTCCTAAAAGACTGAGGATTCTTTCAAAATATATCTGTCATTTCTCCACAGCGGCTGATCAAACCTGCCGCTGAAAAATGTTTTGAACAGGCAACTTGTAGTACAAGCATGGTTTATTTCTGTCAGAGACCGACTGCTGAAGTGTGAAAGGAACTCATTAAAAATCTCTTACTGTGATCTTACACTGTATAAAAGAGGGGGGAAAAAAACCAGAAGAAAGAAAAGGCAAGGGGAAAAAAAACCCTTAATGAAGGGTACAGTGAGCCTGCAGACACTTGCATGTGGTGCTTTTCTCTCTGATTCTTCTTTAGTGTGCAATTAGAAAAGAGCAATTAGCCCTGGGAATACGGAGGTGCTGGCTGGCTGGGAAAATCCAATAAGTTAACAACTTTTTTATGCTAATATTATGAAAAGTTAATAAAGGCAATCAGAATGCTGTAATACAGGAAAAAATTTATGCAAAATACACAGTTGTTTACCTTAATCTTAAAACGAGGTTGACAACGCAAGAGGCTTCTCTATAGTCTTCACTAGCATTGGGTTGGCCCTTTAAAAGCAAAACAGTAAATGCTGTTAGGAATTTCACTGGGAAACAAATGAACAACGTCAAATGTCCCTAAATTTGTGCAGCCCTTGCTTTCTGGCAATCTCACAAGATCTTAATACACTTAGCAAATGTACCCTAGCTGCATGTTAGGGACAGAAGATTCCTATCTCCTCTTGTATCATGGTTTTGGAATGAAAGTTTCATGTAGAAATCGCAGACATAGGGTGGGGGCTACAAACAACTGCTTTAAGCTCTAGGAAGTTCAAAGAAGGAACAGCCATCTAAAAGGGCACCTAACAACCCGAACCATGACGATTATCTACTAGGTCTACTCAAGCACAAAGGTTGAGCACCTTGAATCTTCATAATGCAGAGACATGTGAAATCCAGCAGAGCACTTAGTCTACTAAATAGCAACTATTTCAATGAACCAATCTGCACATCTTTCCTGCCTCAAATGGCTATTGGGGAAGTAAAATAATGTATATGATGTGGTTAGGTGTCACTGAGTTGGCTCCAAGCAGAACCAATTCTCTGTACACCTTAATGGAACTCTATCTGACTTTGCATCAGCCTTCCTGTCTCTACTCTCCCTAAGTTAGCTCTCTGTGGTAGTCATTATTTCAATTTATCTTGTTGAGGTTTTTCCTCTTGCTGAAATGATAAATAAAATCAACAATACTAGTCCTCCTAATCCTGTTCCTCTTTTCTTTACTCTTTTGTCTTGGATTATGCCCAATTTGCCTTTTAACGTTCAGCCAAACCTACATTTTATCTCAAGGTATTTTGCTGAATTGCCTGATATATTAAAAATCTACTATCTCTAACCCTGGGAAAGCCAATTAAAGTCTGCAAGTCTCTGCTTCATCAGTTACGAAACAGGGGCCAAGAGTCAGGTATCTGACCCCAAGCAGAATTCCAGCTGATGCTCTCTCACCACTCTAACCATCTCCACAGTCACAACCTTTTCTTAAAACACCTATCTGATGGAATAAAAAGGAAACTAATGGAAATGACTGGATTTGGAGAGGAAAAATGTCCAAAGAACAGGGTCCTTTACAGTATAGCCACACCAAGACCAAGGGGCTTGTGAACTAGTTATTCAGCAAAATCAGAACACAGGGCCACACTCTGGCTCTAGATCCACAGTTCTTTCTCTGGACAGCTCACAATGTCTTACCATCACCCAACACAACCATGCTACATGTCTTCTGTCACTTAATACTTTAGTATAAAAGTCATTTTACAGTCAGTGGGCATTATTTTTACAAGTCAAGTTGTAGCAAGAAATTGCCCATAAAATTAAATGAGAAAATAATTATGAAAACCATTTCTAGTACCCAACCAGGGGTGAAAGAGAAAAGTATCAATTAACCATATGTTTGGTGGCTGGGATGTAATAGAACAGTAAGCCATTTTCTTTCCTTTTCTTATTTTACACAATACCTGCAATTTCAGAGCAGTCTAGTAATCAATTTTTTTCTTTTGAACCTATCATTTAAAGGTTGGGAAGCCTAAAAAAGCATAGTCAATAATAACAGTCTTCTTTGACTCCATGCCTATCAAAAAAGAGCGCTTACATTTGGAAGCACTGTCATGGAATTGTCTATCTTTCTAAAATTGTGTGGTTCCCTCCCACCCCAAAAGCTCTGTCTACATAGTATCTCAAATATAAATAAGTGACTGGCAAAGAAACATACCTGAGAGTCCTGCACAGAGAGGGACTGTATTTGCCCGGGTATACTGCTGGCATTCATTGCGATCTGTAAAGAGAGCCACCATTACAGCACTTCAGAAAAGCCAAAATGAAACACTGAGGCCAGAGCGGTTACATTTAGTCACAGTTACCAGAGAGAATTTTCAATAGGTCTTAAAGCAATATTTCACCACAAGTCATCTCTGACTGCCTGCATTGGAATCTCTGAGGATGTGTGAAAATGATGACACGTGGGACCCACCCCAACCATGACTCAGAATTTCCCAGAGCTTGGAAGGAATCTGCATCTTCAACAAGTTCACCAAGTGATCCTTCAAATGGATTGAGAAAACTGCTGAGCAGTATGGGAAAAGAAGAATGCATCATTTGATGCTTTCAACTTGCTAAGAGGGAAGTGACTTAGGATAATTGTTTATTCTTGTTGTATAATTTGATTTAATATTAACAGTTCTCAAAATGAAAATAGTTTCAGAGTTCATAAAACCTATTCCTTTAATCATTACTTTGAACAAATACTCATCATATTTAAAAGTATACACGGCTTTGTTGTTGTTGTTGTTAGGTGCTGCTGAGTCTAATACACCTAATAATGATCCTATGGACATGAGATCTCAACCTGTCATATCCTGTGTCATCCTCATCATGACACATTTAAGCCAACTGTTGCAGTCACTGTGCCAATCCATCTCATCAAGTGTCTCCCCCTCTTTTGCTGACTAGTTTGATCTCTTAAAAAAAAAATACACTTTTCCTCATAGAATCCAGACTTTTCTGCAGTGAGGAAACTACATGAATACCTGAAATGATTCAGCTAAATGATCTTTAAACTTTAGACGAAAAATTGTCATGATGTTTTCTTAGGACCAAATAATAGTTCAGCTTACCTAAGGCAGAAAGTAGGCCTTGGAGACTGATTTTTAAAGATTTAATGACAACAGGAACTTAGAAGATTACATATTGTTGTTGTTGATAGTCTTCAAGTAGAGCATGACTCATAGCGAACAAAAGGCCTCTGAAGCTCCTCTACAACTACTGGCATTTATCCAAGTTCATAGAGTTTTCAGAAGCATGCTGTTTAGGAAGTGGCTGCCATTCCTGCTTCCATTAGGAAACTTAAAAAGGACAGTGACTCAAAACTCAACTCACAGCTGTGAATCCCCCCTGGGGGAATTAATTCTAAGGCCACACACTGCCCACGAACAAATTCCCCATCTTTCCCCTTTTGAGTGGCTGTTAGACTCAACTGCAGAGAGGCACAGGCTTTATGTCAGCAGCACAATTCCCCCCAGACTAGGCCACTAGAGTTCTTTCGCGGACAGTGAGTTTTATGTTAATATTGAAGAAATAATCCAGAGGAGGAGAGTGAGAACAGTTATGCAAATTGGATATAACCAATGTCACTAAATTGTGTGTGTAGAAATTGCTGGAGTATGTTCTACTGTGTTCATTCTCAATAATATTAACAAAGCAAACCAGAAAATATTAATTACATACAATATTAATAACAAAAATATTTCCCTATCAGGAAATCAAGAGTGACAGGTTATAGTTTTTCCTCAAAGATGGGAACCAGACCCTAAAGCAACACCTAAAATATTTTGCCTCAAGCAATACTTTTCTGAACTCAGCCCTGCAGCAAAACTTGAAAGATATAGCCCTCAAAGAGAAACAGTAAGGAAAATGAATGAGATGGAGTTCTTGTTCCTAAACTTGCCCTCAATTTAAAAACAGTAAGAAATAATCAGATATTCTGTGAGAAAAAAGTTGTCTGAAGTTTAAGGGCACAATATTCTTGCTCACAGCTTTCTCAAAAACAGCTGTTGCTACTGAAGTAATAGAAGTATATGGATGTCTTCAACTTATTTTGAAGTGCATCAAAGAAATTAAGATGAAGTAATGGATGAATAGGTAGATAGGTATGTGATAAAACGAGTGACAACAGAATCAGGATGACAGGTACATGGGTGTTCACTCTCAGAGTTGCAGTACACTCAAAAAATTTCATAATAAAAAGTTGGAAACAATGACTATGTTAGGAGAACAAATAATCTGCATTTATTACCAAGCCTGATGGTCTACAGTTACACCCAATGTAAAGAATCTTTTAGGCCAATTCCAGGATCGTAATTCAGGTCTGAGTTACAATCAAATACCACATCAGTACTGAAAACACATCTTGCCTCCAGTCAAAAACCTCACTGTTGTTGAGTCAGAAATTACTCATAACTCACCCTCTGGATTTTTATGGAGTCTGTAAATCACAGGAGTGGAGACTGTCCATCTTTCTCTGGAGGAGTCACTGGTAGTTTTGAACTGACTAAGATGTGCCAACTTTGGATTAACACCCTCTTAAAAAACCATGATAAACAGCATCTTTGGGGTTAGGATAGGTAAGTAAGTTGTGCAAACTGCCAATGAGGGGAAGAAGAGTCAGTTTTGCTGTCCTACGAGGCTTAAATTGGGACGTGTCAGACGTAGAAAAATATGAACCTCACTACTGAAGATTATCCAAGGATTACTGGAACAAAACCTCAACAAAGAACTACCAGAATTACAGGCCCAGTTTAGAAGAGGCCATAGTACTAGAGACATTATCACCAATGTCAGATGGACCTTGGCTGAAAACAAAGAGTACCAACAGCATGTCTATTGATGTTTTATTTACTATGCAAAGACATTTGACTGTGTAGATCACAACAAACTGTGGCTAACGTTGAGAAGAATGGGAATCCTAGAACACTTAATTATGCTCATGTGAAACCTATGCTTGCACCAGGAGGTAGTCATCAAAACAACAAGGAAATATTGTATGGTTCAAAATCAGAAAAGGAGTGCATCAGGGATGCATCCTGTCTCCACAAGTCTTCCATTTATATGCAGAAGAGATCATTTGGAAGACTGGACTTTATGAGGAGGAATGTGGCGTCAGGTTTGGAGAAAGACTCACCATAACCTATGGTATACAGATGACACAACCTTGCATGCTGAAACTGAGGAGAGCCTGAAGCATTTGCTGCAGAAGGTCAAAAACTGCAGTCTTCAATATAGATTGAAGCTCAAGGACTGTACTCAAATATGGGAGAAGACAAAGATTCTCACGTCTGTGTCAACTGGCAGCATCATGAGAAATGAAGAAGAGATTGAGGTTGTTAACAATTTCAGCTTGCTCAGCTCCACAAATAACACTCAGGATTAGCAGTCAAGAAATCAAAAGACTAATTGCTCTGGGAAAAGCTGCTCTCAAGAACCTCTCCAAATTGCTAAAGAGCATTGATGTGAGATTGGAGACTAAAGTGCACCTGATTTAGACCATGATTTTCCCAATTACTTGCTATGTATCAGAGAGCTGGGCAAAGACCAAGCAGAACAGAAGAAGAATTTATGTCTTTGAGTTGTGGCGTGAAAGAAAAGTATTGAACATACCATGGACTACAAAGAGACCAGACAGGTTTATCCTAGAGAGGATAAAACCAGGCTGCTCCTTGGTGGCAAGGATTTTGAAGCTCCATCTCACATACTTTAGGTATGGGGCAAAAAGAGACCAGTCTCTATGGAAGGACATCATGTCTCGCATAGGAGAGGAAGACCCCAGATGAGATGGATTGATAGAGTGACTGGAGTAATGGGGGTAGGTATGTTGAAGACAGTGTGAACTGATTCAGGATAAAGCAGAATTCTGAGCTATTGTACAAAGGGTCACTATGAGTTGCACGCAACTCAATGACACATACCACCAACAACAACAACTACAAAGAAACAAGAAGCAGGGCATGTAGCATGTCCTTTGGGTCAAGGATTCCAGCATTACACAGAGAAGTAGGAAAATCCTAGACCAGCAGCAGCAGCAGTCCTAGAGATAGCAGAGGACCAGAGACAAGTGTGAGACTGAGTTGAATTATAACTGCTGCCCCACAGAGCCAAACCCCAGTGCCTTGGCCTATGCTTACTGGCAGAGTGGAAGACTGGGCTGACAAATAACTGGCAGAACTACCAGCCCAAATACTGGAGGCTAAAGGTCAGAAGTAGGCCTCTCTGTGAGTTTCCATGAAAAATTTTATATCCAGAATGTTTTTGGTAGTCTAGTGGTAAGGAGCCACACTATAATTCTGAAGGCACATGGTCTGAATATACCAGTTGTGAGGGAGCTCCTGCCATACGATTTACTGCCTCTGAAAACCCACTGGAGGGACTGCTCAGGTGGTTCTGACCCAATGGCACGCAGCAACAATGACAACAACTTTCCAACTAAGTCATACAACTATGAGTACTCTAGGTTAATCATGTGTGGCCATTGCAAAGGATTAATGAAGTGGAGAACTGAGAATTATGGGCGGAGTGTTTGGTGTTAGAATCAACAGAAGTAGAGGAAGGAGTGTGGAGGCACGTCTGACATCACAGAAACACAGGTTCTGTGTTCTTGATGATGTGGATGGAGATTCTTTGCCTTTATGGAGTAAGTGGAGGTCAGATGTGGTTGTCCTCACACCAACACAAGTGTCTTTATAGAATTCTGTTCTTGGTGTAATTTTTCTATAAATCTAAAATTGTTTCAAAATAATAAACTTATTTTAAAAAACACAGTAAGTTTGTAATCACAAATCTAACTTTCAACATAACCAGACAGAAGGTCAGTCACTAGCCACATCAACATTTCTTTGGAGGTGGCATCATAAAAAAACATCAAATTAAAGCTGATCAAGAAGTACAAGGCTAAGAACAATCAATTTATCAGGGCAAAGAACATCTTTCTCATTTATATAGGAGTATAAAACAAATATGCAGGAAAATTGAATGGCATTTTTAAAACAAGCTTTCCATCTGAAATAATTTTTAAAAGCTAATAGTAGTTTGAAAACTATTAGGTAATGGCAATAAATACAATTAAGAGAGAAATTTAATTTTCATATGGTTTCTAATCTTTAGTAAAATTAGTTTAGCCTAGATCCATATCAAATATCTTTTCTTCCAAGAACAAAATATCTTATTTGGGAAATACATTTTTTACTATTATTATTATAACACGCCTAGGTTCACCATAACAAAATT